GACTACGAAGAATAACTACGTTGTCTAGTTCAGAGGAATGAGTCACTGAAACCTTATGGATAGCATGTCAACACTGTCAGAGACAGGAACCCTCATGAAGGGAAGGGAACGGTGTCAGGGATCGTGCCAACAGCTGTGCCGCTGAGGTCGGGAGGCACTCAGACTAGGACTGAGGAAGAGCTAGTGTCTTCTCAAAGTAGAGTCGGCCGCAGTGATGCAGATGGAGTAGGTCACGGAGTAAAGCGCTGGGGACCTTCATGTATTGATGGGGCCTGAACCAGCTGCAAACATCAATAATCAGAACTTCGAATGTACAAAATATGAATCTAGGAAAACTGGACGTTGTCAACAATGACATGGGATGCATGAACACTGACATTCTGGCTGGGTACTGGCCATGTTGAATCAGGAAATCCTATCGTTTACCATGATGGGAATGTTAGGTAGATTCGAGAGCAATGGCATCACAGTCATCTCCAAATAGGACATTCCCAGATCCATCCTGAAGTAATGCTGTCTGTAATAGGATCCCCTCCATCTGAATTCAAGGAAATGCAATCAAACAACTATGATTCAAATATATGCACCAACCACTAAAGCTAGTGATGCAGACATTGAAGAATTCTACCGTCTTCAGTCTGAAATTGGTCAGATATGCAATCAAGATGCATGGATAATCAATGGCGATGAACACAAAAGCTGGAAACAGAGAAAGGAACGATAGTTGGAAAATATGGTCTTGGTGATAGAAACCAACTATAGATCCCATGATATAGAAGTTTGCAAAGTCAACGACTTCTCCAATGCAAATACCTTTTTTCAACAACATAAAAAACATACCCAGGAACTTCCCTATACGCAGAAATCAAATTGGCAACACCTGTAAGATGGAGACGCTCCATATCAGCAGCTAAAACCAAGCCAAGGGGTGAACGTGGACCAATCAACTGCTCGTATGTAAGTTCAGGTTGAAGTTGAAAAGGAAAACAAGTCCAAAAGAGCCCAAATAGGACCTCAAGCAAAGTCTCAAGAACAGACTAATGACAAAAGTACCTGAAGAGATGTGGGAGGACATCAAGAACATCATTCATGAAGAAAGCCAAAGGCTATTTGAAAGACAAGAAAGATCAAGGTGGATGTCAGAAGGATGAAGTCAAAGAGCTGAACAGAACATGTCAAAGGGCAGCTCAGCAAGACAAAGCCAAGTAGGATAATGGAGC